ATAAGAATGGAGACTATTTCATTTAATAACTGTTTTGTTTTGATATATAAGTTGTTCTGGTTTTTTCACCTAACAGAAAGCAACATTAATTTCTTGACGACCTAATACAACATTTGTACATGTTTTCACATTCGTGGTTTTCTATTAATGTTGTAACCTAATGAATTTATTTTCTTAATTGTTTTATTGATAAAAAATTGATGTAAATATAAGAGTTTCGTTATGTCTTAAACTCTTCACATCTGTAGTTCTAAAACATTGCTAAAACAGGATAGTTGAATAATTTTCACAGTTATCAGTAACACCTGATCCCGTACTCTATAAACTAAACTATTATAAATTTAAAAAAAATTCTTAAAGCCAGCCTTTATCATTCATATAGTTATCAAGCTTTCTCTTAAACTCACTTAAATTTGCTGCCTTCACAACGTTCGAAAGCAAGGCATTCCAGATCATCGAGGCCGACCACCCTGTTAGAAAAATAAAACTCTTTTAACTGAAGGTTACTCCTACCTTGCCAAAATTTATATTTATGTCCCCTAGTCCTACTATTCTCACTGTTCAGTATGATGCATTAACACTATCAATTCTCTTTACATTTTTAAACAGCTCAATCAGATCCCCTGTAACTCTTCTTTTTCAAAGAGAACACAGTTTCAAAGATCATAATCTCTCCTCACATGACAAACCCTCCATCCCAGGCATCATTCTAGCAACCCTTCCTAAGGTAAGGAGCCAAAGACTGATGTTTCTTCTTCTTTTTACATAGATAACTCAGATTTTTCTGCTGGGATGAAGAAATATTGTCTAATGAGATTACTTTTCCTAAGGTTTAGCCAGAGCAAAGTCAGTTCCAAGCAGAACTTATTCTAATGAGGTAGTAACCTTATGGTATCGACCACCAGATGTCCTTCTAGGCTCTACAGACTATACGACTTCTCTTGATATGTGGTCAGTTGACACCGGTTTATGTTTTTTATTTTTGTTACTTTCATGTTCCAAATATGATTCCAAATTATCACAAAGTAGATGATGAAATCTGTTAGAAGAAATATTGATTATTTAATGGTGTAATTTTAGTAATCATTCTAAGCCATAAAACTAGTTTCTGTATTCTCAGCAATTGTATATTACTTGGATTCTTAATTCAGTAACAACAGATTTCAGTAATATTATTTTAGCTCTTAACTTCTATAATGTAAATTGTGATACAATTGTGTGGTTGGAAGTATCGGGATGTCTGTTGAAGGGGTAATGGAATATGGAAATTACTCGGGAGCTCTTTTTTACATACCTGTGTACTTATTGTTTGTGTAGCATAAATTCCTTTGTGTGTTACAAACCTATGTTTAACTAACAGTTGAGTACCTTATTGTTATAAATGATCCAGGTCTAGTGGTATAATTAACAGTTTTGAGTATCTTACTGTTATAAATGATCCAGGTCTAGTGGTATAATTAACAGTTGAGTACCTTATTGTTATAAATGATCCAGGTTTAGTGGCATAATTAGCAGTTTTGAGTACTTATATACTATAAATGATCAAGGTTTACAGTGGCATAATTAGCAGTTTTGAGTACTTATATACTATAAATGATCAAGATTTAGAGTTACTGTTTTGTTGACACATTCAGTGAAGAATCGTATCACCTTTACAAAGAGAAGTAGTGAACTGGTATTAACCAAAAATTAACCATATCATGAAGCTGATAAAACCAATCTAACTGTTAAATTAATGTACTTAATATATTCTATGATATCTAAGGGTTTTATATTTTTTGGTTACAAGAGAAAATAATTTAAATTGTTTTTTGTAACCTTGAAAACATATGCATCTAATTATTTAATACTTGTATCAATAGTTTTAATTACTAAAGTTTAACTTGATGTTTTTTTATTTTATTATTCTGTCCAGGGGAGTAGGTTGTATTTTTATAGAAATGGTTACCGGAGCTGCTGCTTTTCCTGGCGTAAAAGATACAAATGACCAACTAGACAAAATTTGGAGGGTAAAAATTTTTTTATTTATTTCAATGTATATTTTCTCAAGTTGTAAGTTTTATATTATACATCACTGCATGCCTGCTTGTTAGATATTTACTGGTCACATTATTAGGACCAGGTCTAATTTTGAGTTAGACCATGTTTTGCTGCAGTGATAACCCATACTTAGCTTAAAGTCCATAAAATGTGTGAAAGTGTTTTGTATTATAGCTAACCCATTTGTTGAAGAACGTGGTTGGATATTGATTCATAGACATCAACAGAGAATCTAACTGGTGAGAGAAAATTAAGAGTTTATCTCGGAAATGATTAATTGATTTAGCTCCTTAAACCCGAGCAGATGCTGCCAGTGTCTGCCAAGAAATCCTGATTTACCCATCAGACAGTGACAGCATCCGGTAACATTTATATTTCATTGGCTGAAAACTAATCTAAACCATGTTATTATCCACAAAATTAAGAAAATTTTATAATGTATGGTGATAATTATTAGGAAATCATGAAAATAATTCTGGAAGAATGTACAAACAATTATGGGTTTAAAGAGTTAAATGTTTGTACAACAAGTGAAACATGACTCTTTATGCCACATTATAACCCACAATTTGCTCCAATGAGACTGTTTGCTTCTAAGTTGAATCTTGTTCACTGTATTGTTTTCAGTTATTCCAACTATCCAGTAATTGAAATTATAATTAGTAGATTATTTTTTGTGACATTAATTGAAATTTTGATTACTGAATCATTGGAATAATTGATGAAAGCAGTAATTATAAATACTAGTTTTGATTATTTTCAGTAGAGTAATTGATTTAATGGTAATTTCAATCACTAATTTTGTTTAATTTCACAAAAATAATCAATTAATCAAGATTAATGTTTCGGATCATTACTATTTTTAATTATTCCAACTATTCAAGTAATCAAAATATTGCCATTGTGTTTTGTTTTTTTTAAGTGGATAACTACACAATGGGCTATCTCTGCTCTGCCCACTGTGGGTATAAAAACTCAAATTTTATTTTTTTAAGCAATGCCATTGGAGAATAGTGGATTAATTTTATTTTTAGCCATCATTGTGAGAGTAATCAATTAATTAGATGTAATTGGTTAATGAATTGGACATTTCATTGATTAGAAAATTCTAATGATTGCTCAGCTCTACTTTTAAAAAGTTGGGACCTGTTTGAAGGATCTTGCACTTTAAAATTCTTGACGAGTCTCTAGCAGTTAGCAATCACTGTTTTACTAATAAATACACACAGTCCCTCATGGTGGCCATTTTCAATGGATTTGGATGTCAGATCTCTTTGAACAGTCAATCAAAGGATTGAGGAAATGTTTTTCCAATGACCACTAATAGATCTCACCCACCATCATGACCTTGTATTTATAGAGCTCAAGTAATCTTTTGACTTACTATCTGGTCAGTTTATTTTACATAAGGAAATAAATAGAATGCTTTAGAATTCCTAATAGAATGAACAGTCAGAGTTGTATAAAGGTTTTTTTCTTTCTATTCATAAGGGAGCATCAAGCTTTATTGGTTTTTACTAATACTTGCATCCTTTTTAAATGATAAGTATCTTGAGCCAACAATTAATTCTAGAGCCAACTGTTTAATTTCTTATTTTCGTTAAATACACAATGTTGAATTTTCTACCGAGGTTTTTGTAACTTTTGAAACTTCTTTCTTATTTTGCTCTCCTCTTATGGTGTATAATGTTCAGTATGGTGAAGAGTGTGTAATCATTTTAATTACACTTTATGTGTCAGTTGCTCACCACTAGAACTCATAATGCCAACTGAGTTTTAACATAAAAATCTCTGTTAAAATGCTGTTTAAATCTTTCATCAAGAGTTATGTTCGTGATAGTAAAAAAACACAGGATCAAAAAGTTTGATAGATCATGTTTAAAACACTAGTTTCATCTTTCATTTTTTTTTTTTGATTACCAAGTTTTATGTCCAATTTGGCAAAAAAAAACCTTTTGATTGAACTCAATAAATGGTAAGCCTTCAAAACAATACACAGAAGTAGAGATTTAAAATAGTAAATAAATAACACACATCATTAAAAAAAAATACGCAATTAAATACATGTTTAATTCAGGCCACGTTAAAACATGTAGAGTCAAAATTTTAGAGGCCATAGATTGGCCTTAATTAAACGTGTTGATAATTATGTATCTATTTTAACAATATACACGAGTGCCAAGAAAACAATACCTAACATTATCCATAACTGGAAATATATGTAATACTTCATCACAATAGCCTAACGAGTTCCCATATCAGGCCATTAAAAAACAACAGTGTTGTTCAAAGTTATTAGCGAATAGATAAATAAATACTGAAGTGAAGATAGGAAAACAGAGAAACAAGTGCACCTGATTTACTAGAAGTTTTCACTAAAAATAAATAACAGTATAAGTAAGATTCTATTGAGGAAATCCTGAATATAGGTTGCTGCTTGTGAAAATTGAAACAGTTCAATTTTTGTATCCTCAGGTTAGCGGTACTCCCACTGAAGAAACATGGGAAGGATTTACTCGTTACTCGAATTATAAACAGGGTATGTGTTACTATGTTACACCTACTGTTATCCAACTACCTAGAAGGTATGTGTTACTATGTTACACTTACTGTTATCCAACTACATAGAAGGTATGTGTTACTATGTTACACTTACTGTTATCCAACTGAGTAACACATACCTTCTATGTAGTTGGATAACAGTAAGTGTAACATAGTAACACATACCTTGTATGTAGTTGGATAACAGTAAGTGTAACATAGTAACACATACCTTGTATGTAGTTTGTTACACTTACTGTTATCCAACTACATAGAAGGTATGTGTTACTATGTTACACTTACTGTTATCCAACTACATAGAAGGTATGTGTTACTATGTTACACTTATTGTTACCAACTACAGACAAGGTATGCGTTACCATGTTACACTTATTGTTACCCAACTACAGGCAATGTATGTGTTACTATGTTACACTTACTGTTATCCAACTACATAGAAGGTATGTGTTACTATGTTACACTTATTGTTACCAACTACAGACAAGGTATGCGTTACCATGTTACACTTATTGTTACCCAACTACAGGCAATGTATGTGTTACTATGTTACACTTACTGTTATCCAACTACAGGCAATGTATGTAGTGCTATGTGAAACTTATTGTTACCGATATATAGACAATGTATGTAGTGCTATGTTGAACTTGTCATTTCCCAATTATATATAGGTTATGTAGTGCTACATGACACTTATTGTCACCCAAGATGTGTAGTGCCTTGTGACATTTATTGTAACCCTAATATAGACAATGTATGTAGTGCTATGTGAAACTTATTGTTACCAATATATTGACAATGTATGTAGTGCTATGTGAAACTTATTGCTACCTAAGTGTAGACATTGTATGTAGTGCTATGTCATTACCCAATTATATATATAGGTTATGTAGTGCTACATGACACTTATTATCACCCAAGTATAGACAAGGTATGTAGTGCTACCTGACCATTATTTTTACCTAACTATAGACAAGGTATGTAGTACTACCTGACCATTATTTTTACCTAACTATAGACAAGGTGTGTAGTGCTACCTGACCATTATTTTTACCTAACTATAGACAATGTATGTAGTGCTATGTGGAACTTATTGTTACCAAATATAGACAAGGTATGTAGTGCTACATGACACTGAAATTCTGTGCATCTATAGTTATTGAAATTATTAAAAAGTGTCTTATTAGTAAGTGCTACTTAGCCCAAGTTTAAATCCTACTTGTAGAAGACTCAAGAAAGTTAAATTACCATATATGTGGTAATGCAAGTGTTTTTTATTTTTCTTCAGCTTGGTATTAAACCTGAGATCTCTCATATACCTATCAACTGCACTAAAGAGTTAAAGTGCTAATAATAGCTTGTTTTAACAATTTAAGTTACCACGTTCTTCCACCCTCATAAACAAGGCTCGTCCTCAAGCCTTACCTCAGGGTTGTGGTATATGACCACAAGTTGAATACTAGTTTTTTCTGTAGTAACCAACTGAGCTGAAGGGTTAACCTGCTGATAAATGATAGTTAAGGCACATCTTAACAGCTCAAAGTACTACACATCTAATTATTATATAACTTTTTTAAGTAAGTCGTACAAATCAACAGTAGAAATGGTTACTTGCATAATGAGCTTGTTAACCAGATAATTGGTGGTGTTCGGTGAATAATAATTCTGCTGTAACAAGTGTTAATGTTTCTCACTCTTCCATAAAATAGACCAGTTTTAGTGTTAATACTGTAGGTTTGATAAAATATAACATTCCTCAAATTTATATTTACCCCTAAAATGGTTTGAACACAACAGCTTAAGTAATCTGGAGACGTCAACATGCTTAGAAACGTTTTGGAAAAATAAGCTTGGTCAAGTTAAATTTATTACCGATTCTTAAAATGAGGGTTAACTAACTTTTCTGAATACTGCAATTTACAACTCTGGAAATAATTTGTTGACTGTGACATCTTTCAAATAAAATTTTGCTTATCTATGTGTTAATTTTGTTAGTGGTGTTCGTTTTTGGTGTTTAATTTGATTAGTATTATACCTGAGTGTTTCTGTAATATAAGTGACAGAAGTTACTTATTTTATAAAGAAGTGAAGAGCGTCAAATGTCTTGCATAGAAGAATTATTCATTGGCCTTCTGTAGTTATTTGAAACGTTATAAGCCAAGTTTTATATTAGTCTTTCAATATATAGAAAATTACAGACTGAATATGACAAGAACTTTGATGAATCTGTTTGTGCATCTTGGATTACGATTTTATGTACTTCTAAACATAGACTAAAGTTACAAAACTTCATTGGGTTTAAACACATTATTCCAAATCTAAAATATTCAACAATAATATATAAATAAATTTAAACTATTTGTAAAAAGGAATATAGCTACAACCACCAGATGTCTCTCCATTCTAATGAAGCAACTTGATATAAAACCGTACTCCTTACAAGTTGTGATTAACCAGGAAAAGCTAGCTTTAAAAAAGTCGTATCAGACAGAACTCTTCAAAGTAAGGAAATCTTTAGGATCAACAAAAGACAATTTTGAATATACGAGTCTTAGTTACACTGTTACTATTGAAATAAGTTTCTCTGTGTTTTTTCTCTCTCTCTAGCAATAATAATTTCCAAGGTACTTACTGTGATTGTGTAAGTAAAATACTACCACCCTAAAACAGAATTTAACATACAATAAACTTTCAGAACTCCCATATCTTTATTATCTCATATTCATCAATTAGCTCTGTAGAGACACATTTTGTGATAAGTAATTTCATGTAAGCTGAATATTTATAAACAAATAATTCATTGTGGGTTCATCTGGGTTTTTTTTTTTGTCTATATTTTTCAGGAAAATACGGAAACTATAAGAAGCAACCACTTTCAAAAGCATTTCCAAAACTTGTTAACATTCCTCATGCAGAATCTATTGCTTCACAGTTTCTTCAGGTAGGAATATTACTTTCCACTCAATATTTCTGTCTTCACAGTTTTGTGATTGAGAATAATCTTTATGTTTTTCTTGCTCAATATCTTGGGAGTTAGCTAATGTTACTCCTCTTTTCAAGGGAGGTGATAAAAATTGTCCCAGTAATTATAGACCTATTAGTTTTACATCAGTTGTGGAAAAAGTATTGGAAAGTCTGTTAAGAAATTCTTTGCAAAGTCATTTAACAAAGTTTAGAATTTTATTGGATAATCAACATGGTTTCACTTAGTGAAAATCTTGTCTTACAAATCTTTTGACATTCTTTGAAAAGGTTACTGCTTATGTAGATGAGGGTAATGGTCCAGATACACCAAATCTACTTGTCAAATGCTTTCTGAAAATGGTGCCACATAAAAGTCTTGTAAAAAACGTTATCTCTAAAGGTGTGGGGGTATAAGTTAGCAAACTGGATGGAAGAAAGCAGAGGGATGTTACAAATGGAATTCAGTCAAATTGGATTAATGTCATAAGTGGGGTACCTCAAGGCTCAGCCTTAGGACCTTTGCTTTTTTTTATTTACATCAATGACACTGATGAAGGAATAGTCAATAAGTTACTTAAATTTGCAGATGATATTAAGGTCTTGGATGTTG